GGGGGCTTTCGTGCTGTGGTGTGTCGTAGCGTACCATCCTGCCGTAGATCTGGTGGTTGGTGATGCCGGCCCTCCAGAGCACAGCCAGGTCTCTGTCCTGCAGGCCTGTCAGCTCCGGAAAGTGCGCCCTCATCGACGTCAGGTACGCCTGAGGGGCGTTGCCGTTGCCTCCTGCTGCTGCCATGATGCTTGCTACAAGAGTCGATGAAGCAGTCATTGATGAGCAGAATGAGGTGCGAGCTGAGCCGCTTGCCTCCTCAGTTCTTGAGGCCCTTAGAGGGCGGCGGGACACAGGCGTGGATTCCGCACTGGCGGATCACGACAGCTGCCTGTGTGTACAGGACTGCCAATACGTCCTTCAACTTCAATTTGCGACTCGGATTTGCATGCAGACGGGATGGGGGCGGCCCCCACCAGAAACTGGGGTGTTTTCAAGTTGTACTAGAGATTCCATCCCGTTGGTGTACTGAGTGATTCTGAATCTTTCGTCAAAACCATCCATCCGACCATCTATTCATTCGTTTCGACGTCCCGAGCGCTGCGCCTCCCTACGCCTCCCCGTCTCAACAGGCAAGCGGACATGACTGACAGCTGCAGCAGGCGTGACTGAACGACTTCCTCTTTGCTGTGTGTGTCCCTTGGCTTGTATTTTGTCCGTCTGGGATGAGTGCAGAGATGATTGGTCGTTCTGCCTGTCTCGCCCTGTGTGTGGCCGTCGGTGCCATCGCCCTGTGTGTGACGGCCACCAGTACGCGTCGCCAGCACATCGACACAGCTTTGCACCAGCACGGTGAGAAATCGCAGCTTTCACAACGGCACGCATGCGTGAATCAATGAGCATTGCAATGTGCAGTTACCTCTGCTGGGCTGTCGGCACTTCTGAAGCGACACGCCGGTAAGTAAGTGACTGGACAGAACGGAGCCTCGCACATACATACGGTCCCCCCATCCAGCTGCACACATTGACATGTCCCCTCCCCTTCCTCCGTCCCTTTGTCAAATCCAGCCCCGAAGGCGATGGTCTCCCACGCCCAGCAAGACGCCGTTACAGGGGCCCCTTCCCACCAGCTGTACCAGGCCGCCCAGCAGCTGAGCCAGGCGGCCGACAAGTTCACCCTGACGGCCAAGGAGGCGGCCAAGCAGCTCAGCGTGACGGCTGATGAGCTCAGCACCATGGCCATGGCCATCGACAAGGCCCAAGGCAGCATCACGATGATGCAAATGGCCGGCACAGCCAGGACCCATGAGATAGGTATGTGCACACCGCACACATCACATGTGTGTCTCTGGCCTCTCTCCGGCTCCATTGGTTGGTGCAGGGGAGTGCGGGGTGATTGAGTATGACTACAATAAGGTGACACACCGGCACTGCATATCCGGCTGGGTGTGCGTCATCAAGCGGCGCAGGACCGACCTCAAGGGCAGCGTCGACGAGAAGAGGGAGGGCGAGTGCGTTTCCCACGCAGACAGGGAGAAGCATTGCCGCGACAACACTGATTTGGGCTTCATCGGGTACGAATCGCATAGGTTCGACTCGCATGTGTTCGAGGACAAGCGAACCTTCTATTTTTGCTTGGGCAAGGAGTACGAGCTAGAGAGGGAGGAAAGGGAGGAGAGGGAGAGGAGAGACAAACGGTCTTAGTGAGGAAAACCATCCATCGGATGGCTGGCACGGCAGACCACGACCAGGACGGCTTGCCTGCCTGACCTACACGTGAATAGAATAGTTACTCATCGACATCATGTGTACAGCCGGCCAGGGAGATTCGGGGCGGGGGGAAAGGTGTGCAAACGCCTTCGTGTGAGTGTCGTTCGTGAGAGTTCACGGTGGGACCCAATGAGCGGAGCAAATCAAGTTTTGAAGGTGTTATGCATCGCATCCATCGCTCACATCCATTCTTCACTGCCATCTACGTCGAAAGGTTCAATCAATCAGTCAGTGCATTGTCATTGATTGATTGCTATACAGTTAATGCACGTGTCAGTTACACACACACGATGGACGGACGCAGCTGTCCACATGCACGGCCGACTACTGCACAGCCAAGTGACACGAGTGCTGCAGGGGCGGCTGCGTGGGTCTGGCTGCTTGCCTGTTTATTCAAGGGTTTATGGCGGTCTGGCGGTCTGTCCGTTGTCGATGTGTGTGGCATGAAAGCATCGGCTGCGCCTTTTTGCGCAGCGGCCACATCCGTAGGTGCCGAATCTGTAGTACCTGTAGTTAGCCTGTGCAGTGCAGGGCGTGTGTATATGAGCTGCGCAGCGATGGGCGCAGCAGACATGGTTGCTGAAGTGGATGATACGTGGATGACCGGCCGTTGTGGAAATGGTGCTGAGAAAGGCACACTCATGCGTGTGTGTGTGTGTGTCCTGGGTGATCGATTGCTGACTGGCTGCACATGTGAGAAACAGCTCCGTGTGCGTGGTTAATGGTGCTTGATGGTGCTTGACGGTGGTTGATGGTGGTTGGGTGATCGTTTCATGACACACATAGAGTATGTAGAGATTGCCAGACTGTGTCATTCGTGCAGCCCCCCAATCCCGCATGAAGTGTCTGTATTCTGTACAGGCGGCCTCATCTGGCCCATGAATGAGGCCATGACACTGGCCGCTGACATCTTGTCCAAGAGCTCGTGGGACCACATCCATTCCTTCACCAGTCACCCGGCCCCCAACAGCGTCACACGTCAGCCGCCCCAGAGAGTGCGGACCTTCTGTTCGTCCTCACTGGGGTCGAGAAGCTGGATGCCCTCCTTGGCGCTCGGCCCGCGGATGAGGCCGTCATTCTGCATCCCTTGCAGCATGAAGGACACTGCACGCTGGCGCACATCGTCGCTCATGTCGGGCGGAGCCGCCAACCGCCTAGCCACCTGCAGAAATGCGCACAGGGAGAGCCGCATATGTTGCCTCCTCTCTCTCCCTCTCTCTTTCTCTGTGTGTGTGTGTGTGTGTGTGTGTACTTCTTCTTTCGACGTCATTTGGGGGTCTTTGTATCGTGGCTGCCGCTTGAGGTGGTTCAACAGCGCAATGCCCAGACACACAACTACAAAGAGAAAGAAGGCAGGGGACATACATATATATGTCGAGCCACCGACTTTTCATTAATGCATCTCACTCTGTCACCTGAGTCCCTGAGATTTGGGGGCGGCTGCCGGGCGGGGGGCGGCGCTGCCTGCATGTTCTTGAAGCCCCTCCTCGCGAAATGATCTGCAGTCGCACAACCCATGCATGCATCCATCCATCCACACAGGACGGCCCCATCGATGGCATCCCCCGACCGACCGACCGTTTACGTGTTGCTCATTGGGTGCATTGCCGCCGTGGAAGATGCCGTCGAGATGGTACCCTTGGTGGATCGTGAGGCCATCCGTGGCCGAGATGCTGATGATCTGCGCCTCCTCGAGAGTCGCGATGACGCTCTGGGCGCGGAGGAGAGAGACCTTGGTGGGCTGCACGACAGCCCGGTCGATCAGGGAGCCGATGAGCTGCACAGACAGACAGACGGTCGATGGAATGGATAGGGGAATGGAAGGACATTCATGGTGAGGTGGACGGTGTGCAGCGCATTCACTCACTTTGACAGAAGAGGTGATTGTGTGCAGCTGCCCCTGCATCTGCACCAGCTGCGTCGCGAGAGCCACCTTCTTGTCCTCACCTATGATGAGATGCCGGCCGCATGTGCCATGTGGTGGAGATGGGCTCGTGTGATATGTTATGTGCATGCAGTGCAGTGCAGCAGCGTACTGTTTATGTCTCCGTCTTGGGTGTTTGCGGTGTGGTCGAATATGCTGTTTGACTGAATGATCCTGACCATCAGCTTGGTGTCCTCCACCAACTCGGGCTCCAACTCGATGCCAACCACACGGATCCCTGACAGACACACACACAGACACACGCATGCACGCATGGATGGATGGATGGATGGATGGACGGCTGCAGTGGGTGGGCTATCACCTGTGTTGGTCTCCGTCGCCCGCGCAATCAACAGCTGCACGCCTGCCCATTATAATGCACATGCCGAGATGAATAAGATGGACACGAGCATCCAGATGTCCACCGTCCATCTATCTGCTCCACCCATGCATGTACCTACCTCCGAATTTGGTCTTGAAGAATGTGGGTGTCTTGGCCGACTCCCCACCCTCCTCACCTCCACCACCATCCTGACGATTGGCCTGCTTGGCCTTGGCTTTGGCCTTGCCCTTGGCGCCACCACCACCACCAGCGGCAGCAGCAGCGACACTCTGATATCGACAGGCACAGAATGTGGCTGAGTGGGTGTGGGAGAGAAGGGTTCGTTCGTACGGTGCGCGGGGCCTTGAAGTCCTTGTCCAAGAAGCCGAACGAGTTGAGGACGTTGCCGGACAGCAGGTGCACCGACATCTGCACCAAGATGACCAAATGGATGGCCAGACAGCTCCCTATCCGCCTCCCTACCCACCTTGCGCATGCCCTTTGTGCAGACGCTGCCGTTGACGACGTGCTTGCCGTCCTCGTTCTGCTCCAACTTCCAAGGCTCGCTGGTGTACTGACTGCACATATACCACACACACACCACACGTGCATCCATCCGTCCATCCATCGCTGTGCGTGTCTAGCGTCATATGTTTGCCTACAGGCAGCTGCACACTTCATCGGCACGCTCGAAACACCTGGTCCAGCTGACAAACAGAAAGGGCACACCACAGCACATTCACACGCAGGCAGCCAATGAAATGCGCTCGCATGCATATGGAGGGGTCACTCACTGCGTCTCGATGCTGCTCAGGTCGTCGACCAGCTTGCCGCTCTCGTCTGGCTTCCTCTGAATGGCAATCTTCTGCAGCCACCAACCAAAGGGTCGTGTGTTGGTGGTGGTTTGTCTGTATTTCGTGTACTGTGTGTGCCCCCCCTCCCATCCGCCAAGCGCACCGAGATGGATCCGTCACTCTTGAGGGCGTGCAGCGATCTGAATGTGAGCGACATGTGGTTCAGGAAGATGTCGCTGGCGCCGAGGTTGGGGCGGTACACCTTGCACTTCTTGTCCTGTGTCTGGTAGGTAGAGAGATGGATATGCGTATGCGGCGCGTGTGTGTTTGATGGGGTTGGATTGGATCCAGTTCAGTGCACCCAACCACCCACCGCTGCGTATGTCTCCTTCTTCTGAATGAAGAGTATGGGAAGGCGCCTGCACCTCTGGTCTTTGTTGTAATGCCACCTGAAAAAAAAAAAACACACACACACACAAAGACCCACAAACACACAAAGACACACAAACGAACACGCACAAAAGCCAGATATCGTGTGCCTGACATGTGTGATGCACAAAGAGACCCACCAGTAAAAGCCCTCCGGCCGGCCCAGCTTGTGCGGCGATCTCTTGCGGCCGGCAGCGTCCTTCTTCTTGCGCACACTGAGGTAGAGCTCCTTGGCGGCCGCGAAGGATATCCCTCTGTCCACCCGCACGTGGGTGTAGTACTGACACACACACACACGGAGGGAGGGAGGGAGGGAGGGAGGGAGAGGGAGAGAGATTCCATGGAAATCGCCCGCCTGCTTCGTTGCTTACGGTCTCTGCGTGTGTGTGTGGATCGTAAGCGATGATCTCATGTTTGTCGAAGACCACGGCCTGCGGCTCGCCGATGAGTCCACTGCACACACACACACACACACACAGACACACAGACACATACGGAGAATAAAGAGAGACACACACATAGAGAGAGGTACATCTGTGTGTTCATGTTGTGGTGTGTGGTGTGTGTCTAGTCGATTGTTTGATTTGGTTGCTTGCCGGTAGCATGAGTTGAGGTCGGCGATGGCGTCCTTGTCCTTGGCACCGTCACTGACACACCACACACGCACAGGGAGGCAGGGGGGGGAGGGGGGGTGAGGGCACACGAGTACGGGCGTGTCACCCACCCAGACTGCTCCTTCTCGGCGAATATATCTGCAGTTCGTCATACCGAGCAGCACATTGAGCGGCTCTGCCTGCGTGTGTTGTGTGTTGTGTGTTGTGTTGCGTACACATCAGCAACTCAAAGATGGGATTTTGGACGGCCGGGAGCATCACCAGCATTCGATTCATGAAGCTGCGCAGCGAAGTCGTCTTCTTCCTCGGCACACGGCTACGGTTGGGATCCTCCTGCACCGAAGAGAGGGAGGGAGGGAGAGTGTGCATCACACCCACCCACACACCACCCAATTATCCACCCACCTCAGGCTCCACTAGTCCACTGACATCGACTTTGCGCATCTCCTCCATGGCCTGCTTGGCAAACTCACCAAAGCTATCATAGTACCTGCGCGCACCGCACCCACCACACCACACGCAACACAACACACAACACGTCGTCAACCCACCCCACTCGGCACACGCCAGCGCACCGCACCCACGGACTCACTCACTTCTGGAAGGCGAATTCCGGCGTGTTGTCGTCATCGCTGTCGTCGTCCTCCTCCCTGTCACCGTCACCGTCACCATCACCATCGCCCCCTTCGGGCATCTGCTCGTCGCCGTCCACATCCACAATCCCACCAAATGCGGCACCACCTGATGCTGCTGCTGCTGCTGAGGATGAGGATGGGCCGCCCTGCCTCTGTGTCCTCTGTGTCTGCTTCTGCGGGTGTCGGTGAGGTTTGTCGTCCTCGGAGCTGGATGCGTCAGACTCGTCCTGGTTGTCGCGCATCTGATGGTCGCATACACGCAAGGGAGGAGGGCAGAGACACGCGGATGGACGGACAAATGGATGGATGGATGGATGGCTCCTCGTTTGTTGATGGTGTGTTGGCTGACCATGTACTCGTCCATGCCCTGGGCGTAGGTCGGCTGCAATACATACACATACATAACGGAGAGGGAAATGGAACCACACACATCCATGAAGATATATGTGCCTTGCAGTGTGTTTGTGCGTGCGCGTTACGTTGCGTTGCGTTTCATACGTCTTTGGCTGCCTTGGATGTGTCGTTGAACATCGCCTTCAAGGCAGCGCCACCATTCCTCGTCTGCAAACACACACACATAGGGGATACGGTGGCGTGTGTTCATGGTATGGTGCGTCAAGGATCCATGCCTACCTGCATGTCAAACTCAGCAAGCGTTGCTTCTTCAGCCTCGCTCATGGTGCATCGACGATCGCCACGAGTCAGCGCACCTACACACACACACACACACACACACAGAGAGCCAGGCACATCGACGACGGATGCAATCCTGTGGGCCACGATGGCTGGCTGGGTCGCTGACCGAGCATCTTCATGCGGCGTGCAATTGTAGAGGTAAACCTGATCTCGCCGCCCATCTCCGTCACCACCAGGTGGAACTCGGGGTTGTGCAGCTGGTTGGATCGGTGGCACCGGCCGAACTGCTGCACCGCCTGATATAGGTGACAACAGACAGACAGACAGAGCAGCCCCGGAGACACACACAGACAAAGAGAGAGAGGCAGTGGGTTGGGTTAAAGTGCTGCTCCTTCTGACCTTGTCGGCGGACCAGGGAAGCTCCAACGTGTACTGGCCAACGAAGAGACAAACAGAGATGTGTGCACTGTCTATACGGAGGCCATTTCGTTGCGTGGCTGCATACCATGACTCGAGGCCGTCTGTTGCCGGCTCGTCTGTCGGCGTGCAGTGAGATCCCCGCACTCGCCGCCTCTGTGATGATCGCGATGCGCTTCTCGCCGTCCTGGAACAACTGCCGCTCCCTGACAGCCACATCCATCCATCCATCCATCTCTGTGTTTTGTGGCTGTGTGGGTGGATGTGGCTGCCTTGGCCGATCAACCGACCTGTTGTTGATGGACTCGCCCTGCCTGCTCGACTGGCCGCGGCTGTATTTCCCCCTGTCGACATACTCACGACGACCGGTGCTTGGGTTGACCTCGTAACGCTTCGAACGACCTGGACGAAGAGATGAACAGAGGAAATGACTGGCTGGAGGATTTATGGGTTTATCCGTCTTCTAGTGCACTGACCGGTCAGCTCAGCCACATGGCCGGGCCCGCCAAACTCCTGAAGAATGGCGTCCAGAGGGTTGGGGCTGCACGAACGAACAATCGGGCAATGGAGTAGGGTGTGTGGGTGTGGGTGTGCGTGTGTCGGTCGGTGGCTTACGGCATGTCAATGTTGGCCAGTCGCTCCTCTGCAGGACGATGGATGCATGGACAGGCAGAGACACATGGGTATGCGCGTGTGTGTGTTGCCTGCCTCCCGCCCTGTCCCCCCTCTCCTTACTGATGGCCTGTTTGCGAGCGTCGTAGTCGCCCACCTCGTAGCCGCGCACGTCCTTGGTCTTCACCCACTGCACCCATCCATCCATCCATCCATCCATCTATCCACGCACACAAAGCAGCAGAGATCAGAGGGCCCTTACCTTGTCGAGAAAGTGCTCGAGTATGAGATGGAGGCCAGCGGTGTTCATGGCCTCCTGGTCTTCATCGTTGTCCGCATCATCACGACGGGCCTCTTGCTGGTCGGCCTTCTCTCGGTGCCGGGCCTCGCCTGTCGACCACCTGTACACACACAGAGGGGTGGGGTGTGTGTTGCGGGCTGTGTCGTGTGTGGTGTTGATATATTGTGTACATAGAGAAGATGACGGCCTTTCCATGGGCGAGGTCCTGAAGGAGTGGCACAAGGGACACCATGGTGTCCTCGGCTCGGCTAGCCCCCCATCCCCTCCCCGTACCTTCCTAGCCTTGCGCACTGCAGTGGGTATTTTCGTGGCGACAAGCAGGATGCGGAAGAACCGCTGTGCACTGGCCCAGAACTGCATCGTCGCCACCCTGTGTGATGCATTCGATGAAGGCGCACACATGAACGAAGCCATGCGCAGAGAGAGAGCCCTGTCGTGCGGCTGTGTGTGTGTCTGTATGTGTGTCTGGCCGGCCAGCCGGCCGGCTAGTTTGCCCCACTTACATCCGCTCATCGTTGTGGATTGTGTACTTGCAGTCCGGGCTGGAGCAAACCGCACTGTAGACGAACACAAAGACGGAGAGCGGGTGGCACCGCCTCCACGCCCGCACATTGCCAATCTCTACCTACCATTCGGGTGTGTTTCCGTCGTGCCAGTGGACATGTGGGTCTTCCTTGGTCTCGTTGAAGAGGGCGAACACGTCCTGCCACACCACCACTGCCGTCGAGTAAAGGTTGGTCGCGTCGTTCTTGAGGCCGATCTGTAGAAAGGCACACCAAGCCACCACACACCCTGGTACACATCCATCCATCCATCCGCCCATCCAAACAGCACCTTGACGACTTCGAACTTGCAGCCCTGGTAGCTGAGGGTTCTGGACGAGAACTGTACACACACACACACACACACAGAGAGAGAGAGAGAGAGACATAGACACAAGGAGGAAAGAGATGCGTCGAAACGTCATGTGTGTCATATGTGTGTCGGTTCGTGTCTGTCTTTATCTGCCTTTCTTTCTGCGTGTGCTTACGAGTCCCTGCGACTTGATATTTATCGTCAGGCACTCCATCCCGGACACGGCGTTGTAGTTGATCCGCTGATGCAGCTGTGGGAAGCTTGCAAACGGAGTGCCCGGACCTACACACACATCAACACATCAACAACCACACACATGGCATGGCAGCCACCCATTGCATTGCACCTGGGCGCACTCCACCCTCCCACTCACTCAGTCACTGACTCACCCCAAAGGCCCAAGCGCGACATGTAGCCGAGATTGCGCAGCTCTGATGCGGCGGTCGCTGAGGCGTAGATGACATGCGCCTTGGGACAGAACTCCTGCTCACACGTGACAACAAACACGCCAGGAAGGATGGATGTGTGGATGTGTGGATGGATGGATGGATCCATGAGCTCATCGGTGTGTGTGTGACGTGCCTGGAGTTTGGCCACGAGCAGGCCTGTGAGGGATGCGCCCTTGGGCGTCATGTTCTGGCTGTCGAACTCGGTGCCCTTGCCCGTCAACTCTGGTGCCAGATTCTTGGCCTGCACACCCGTGGCGACTGTCTACGTGGATATTGGTCTGGACGTGGCGACCTTGTGCGATTCGTCGAGTACGATGGCGCCCTGAGCGTCCTTGCCGCCCAGCCACTCGACAATGGCCGCGAACCGGCACAATCTACACACACCACACCACACCACACACCAAACAGAGAGGATCGTGGATGGGGGTGTGGGTGTGGGTGTGGGAAGAGGCGGGTACTTGGGATCATTGAGTATGTCGTGGTCGCCCTTCTTGAGCCGGGCTGACAGGTCCTCTGCCTGGCTCTTGGTGTTGTGCTTAACGAAGTACATGTAGCTGCAGAAGAGAATGCCGTTGCCTGAGGGCATCAAGGAAGCGCACACGCATCCAACACAAACAACACCCATATATGTGTATGTCTGTGTGGATGGATTGATGTGTCTGTGTATGTGTGGCATAGCGGGTGGATACATGAGGGTCCGAGTTTGTCTTGGAGTTTGAGTTTGTTTTCGCGGTTGCTCATGAAGGAGTCGAACACCGGCATGCCCTTGATGTTGGCCAGCGGAATACTCAGACGCAGATCATCTGAACAATACAGCACAGCACAGCACAGCACAACACACAAAGGCGTATACTAGTGGGTGTATGCAGCATGGATCGTGCGTGTCTGTGTCCGTGTGTACCTATGTCTCTCTTTGAGTCCATTTCGAGGTCGGGCGAGACACTGAACCAGATGTGCCGCTGGTTCTTGGTCAGCCGCTTGTGGTTGTGCACGTGCCCAATGAACGCCGCCATGGTCCGCCCCTGCTCCCAACCAACCAACCAACCAACGCACCAGTGCACCACTCATCAATGAATGACTTGCATACGGCCACAGGCGGATGCGCGTGCTGGTGTGTGGTGTGGTTCTGACCTTGCCGCTGCCGGTTCCGTCACCGAGGCAGAAACCACCCCGGTGCCCAGAGTCCAACAACTGACAACGGGCATTCGGATGTGGGCGTGTTGGGGCTGGGGGTGGGGAGGGGGTGTGTGTGTGTGTGTGTACCTTGCTTGAGCGTCGGCACGTGGATGATCGACTCCATCTGAACGCTCGACAACAGGCCATGATCCACTACCCATCTGCAGGACAGACAGACAGACAGGCAGCAAGGCAGACGGAAAGGGCGGGAGGAATGAATGATGTGTAGACACGTGTGTGCACGTCACGAGCAATTAATTACTTGGGCATGTGTACGATGTCCGTCTGGCGGAGCGGAGGCAACTTGACCGCATGCAGAGTGGCCGACTGATATGCGCATATGGAGGCATAGATGACGGGCGGCTGCTGGATGGTTATCTATCTATCTCGGCTCACCTCCGCCAGGACCGCAGGATGCTCATGACCGAAGTTGAACAGCGACGATCGACGCACGGCCTTCATGACCTCCTCGCCCCCACCAGCACCTCCACCCCCAGCACCATCCTGACACACACGCACCACACATCCCTCTCATTACAACAGCCGCCCACGAATTGAAGGAAATGTGTGAATTGCTTACCGATCTATCGTCGTATGGGTCGGTATGGTGCTGCTCGAGGTCGTATGGGCACAGTGGTCTGTTCTTGGCCTCGCTCCAGTCCTTGGGCAGATGCCTCAGCGGGTGGTCACCTCCTGCACACACCACACGGCGAGAAGCCGAAGTGTATGCGTCTTTGTGTGGCCACCATGGTCCGTCTGCATACCTTTGTTTGCATTTGCCTTCTGGCGGTGCTGTCCGATGTCATCGTCGTCATCGCCGCTGCGCAGATGACAACGAGGTGCCCCGCCCCTCCTCTCCCCCACCTGTGCAGGTGTCTGTGTTGCTTACTTGTCCGTCAGGTCCCAAATGGAGCCGCCACCCATCCCACCCCGCCCCCCGCCACCATCAGCACGGCTACGCCCACCCGCAGCAGCGGCAGCGGCAGCGGCAGCGGCAGGGGCAGCGGCAGCAGGCCGCTTGCCGCCCTCAAACACGTCACTGGACGCAATTTGACAGCACAATACATACGTGTACTGGTGGGGGTGGAGACCATCAAACAAACCACCATGTCATATGTATGCTGTCCACCATACTTACTCATCATCGAAGGGCCAGTCATCATCGTTGTCCTCCTCTTTCTTCACCTCCGGGCCGCCCTTCCCCTCCACCTCCCCATCGAAAAACAGCGCCACGTCGTCATCGGAGTCGAAGAGCTTGTCAGCCGCTGCTGCAGCTGCTACAGGAGCTACAGCCGGTGCACTCTGCTGCTGCTGCCGCTGCTGCTGCTGTTTGTGGGTGTTCTTGGTTCGTTTGGTGGACGGCGCGTTTTTGACGAGGATGATCTGGCAATCGTCCGACTCGTCGCCTTCATCACTATCAGCCGGGCGCTTTCGCTCATTCATGGTGTGGCGGACACGAAAGGACGGGAATGGCCGCCGCCAGAAAATTCACATGTGGTGGGAGGTCCCGCTGGGGGGAGCAGCTGCGCGCAGCAAAGAGGTGTGCACACAGGCAGCCAGTCGGCCAAGACCACTGCGGGACGTGACACTGAGCGAGATGATTTGCGGAATGTCCCATTTAACCGATGAAATTTTGTGCGTTTTTCCCGGTGACCTTCATTCATTGTGAGCCGTCGCAATGACCTGCATGTGGTCCAGCGTGCCTCACTGATCACTGTAAAGCAAATTTTACCTCCAAACACCCACAAACAGCCGAGATCGGGGCCGCCAAAGTGGGGTCAAGCAAGCAAACGAGAAGCAGCGAAGCAAACAAGCTGCGGAGCACCATGAATGGCTTGCCTTTGAGCCCACAGTAGCATTTGCAGTGAAAGAGCGACTCCGCCATGCGAGTCAGGTGGCCTGCTGCGACGCCCTGGTGACTCAGACGGCCAAGCAGAAGGCGTGTGAATTGCCTCGCTTAAATGGGACCTCGGTCATATGGGAAACTCGTTATATGGGACACCCTGGGCAGTGTCCCATTTAGCCGAGGCCCACTGTACTTTTTGCTTGGGCAAGGAGTACGAGCTGGAAGAGAGGAGAGGAGAGACAAACGGTCTCAGTAAAACCATCCATGGATAGCTAGCACGGCTGACCACGACCAGGACGGCTTGCCTGCCTGACCTGCACGTGAATAGAATAGTTACTCATCGACATCATGTATATGTACAGCCGCCCAGGGAGATGCGGGGCGGGGGGGAACGTGGGCGGGAGTGTGTGCTGTGTGCATTCATGTTCATGGTGTCTAAGGGACTCTCGAACTAAAAAGCGGAGACAAGTCAAGTTTTGAAGGGGTCAAGACCGACCGACCGACCAGCCGGCCATCTATCTATGTCGGTCGAAAGGCTCAATCAATCAGTGAGCGCATTGACTGATTGCTATACAGTCCAAGCATGTCGGTCACGTCACGCACACAGACGGACAGACGCAGCGTTGCTGCTCACAGCCAACACCATCCCAGTACCACTAGCTTGTTAGTACAAATCAGATCACCCACCCAAGCCATCCCTCGATCCCTCATTGTGACGGTTCGAAGGACTTCATGCTCTCGACGTTGAAAATGTAGTCGCTGTAGTGCGTCTTGGCGAACCATGCCATGTCCCGCTCCTGAATGATGTTCATGATGCGCTTCTTGTCCTTCTCGCGCTTCTTCTCCTGGTTGGGGATCCGCTCAGCCTTGCGCTTCAACTCGTCCATCACGCCGCACTCACGCAGCTCGTACATGTACAGCTGCGTCCACCGGTCCACACTATAGCAAACAGCAAACAGACACACAGACACACAGATGTGAGTCACTTCATATATATATATATCTCTCTCTGCGTCCCTGTGTGTGCCGCGCCGCCCAGTGCTGTGCAGCTATGTGTGTGTGGCTGTGCTTACTCGACTTGTCCACTTTGGAACTCTGCGTCGAGTTCGGCGAGCGCCTGGTCGAAGTCCCAGTCGTCGGCATCCTCATCGCAGTCCAAAAAACTGACCTCCACGATGTTGAGCGGCGACGGTCCCCGTGCTGGCGCCCTTGACGCACCTGCAACCCCCCGCCCACACATCCACCACACCCACAGGCAACACAGGCATAAGTTGATCTGGCCTGGTGCAAATCTCTGCGTGTCGTCTGTGCGTACCTGGTGGGTATTTCCTGAGTCTAGAGAGCATGGTGGGTTGGGGGGCGACCAGCTGGAAGGCGCTGGATGAGCACAGCAGGCCCAGCACAGATGCGGCGCGGAGGGAGAGGGAGATCAACATGTTCGTCGGCTGGATCTTCGACGCACTCCACTTCACAGACCACTGAGGGCTCTCTGTGCGTCCAAGGACGCTTCTTCGCGCGGCGGTCCTGGAAGCGCAAGCTCGCAAAAGAGCTTGCAATCGTCTCGCAAACCCCTCTCTTTCTCTCTCGACAGCAATGCATCGTTTGTAACGGCGAGTTTGTTTGTTTGTTAGTTAGTTGTCAAGAGAGATGGTGTGTGGTCCGACGCGCAACATCACGTCCATCTACATCAAGTACCGTTCGGACCACAAGAACAAAAAGAACCGATTCGGCATCAGCCTGCTCGGCGGAGGCAGCCCCAGCCATGCAGAAGCCGGTCAGGGAGAACAAGACGCACACACACACACACACACACGCCTGCCGTGCGGATCTCTCGTGTGTGTGTGCGTGCGCAGGGCAGCAGCGCCTTCTTGCGTCGACCTCTGGTAAGCCGCAAGGCAGGCAGGCAGGCAGGCAGGCAGCTGGGCCGCGGGAGATCAGATCTTATCAGACAGCTAGCTGTCCTGGCCCTGTACGGACGCTGTGTGTGTGTGTGTCTTGTGTGTGTGTGTCTTATGTGTGTGCGGCGATGGCCCCTCCCCGTGTAGAGGAGGACATCCAGGAGGTGGAGATGACGCAACTGCCGCCCGTCTGGGTGAGCAACCAGCCCATCAACACAACACCCCACCGTACGGGAGGGCTGGGCGACGGACTGTCTGTCTGTTGTGCTCAGGTTGATCTGATAGAGGACGCGCAGGACGACATACAAAAGATCAAAGACAAAAGTGAGTCAGTCAGTCAGTGAGGGAGTGAAGGAGTGAGGGAGAAGATCCATGGGAGGGATGCGATGCGTGAGGCATTCATTCCTTGTTTGGTGCCTGCGGTGTGTGCGGTGTGTTGTGTCGGTGGCTGCAGTTGCGACGCTTCAGCAGAAGCAGCAGCGACGCCTGCTTAAGGTGCGCAGCGCATAGAACACAACACCCCCGCACCAGCACTCACTGGAGGGAAAAGCAAAGGCGTGTGTGTGATTGTGAAGGTGTTTGGCGAGGAGGGTTCCAACACGTCGCTCGAGTCCGAAATCGACAACCTCTCACACGTCATCACAGCGGTCAGGGAGACAGGGAGGGAGGGACGGAGCGAGGGACCTTTGCCATCTGTTTGTGGTCTCTCTGCATGTGTCATGTGTGTGTGTGTGTGTGTCGTGTTTGTTTGTGTGTGCCTACCGTGCAGTTGTTTCGTCAGTGTGAGGGTCGTATCCACCAGATCCAGACCAGGGGCACCGAGATGGGCGTCACCAACAAGGAATACGCACTCAGGCAGAACGCACAGGTCAGTCAATCAATAGGCACATGCCTGCACGCCTGCCTGCGATATGTTGTGGGCACACAGCCATTGCAATCAGTACATTCAGCAGCTTGTGTGAATGGAATGTTTGGTTGCCTGTGTGTGTTGGTTGGTTGGTTGGTTGGTTGCTTCATTCATTTACTTCAGCGCAGTGTGGCCAATCAGCTGCAGAAGCTGTCTCAGGACTTTAGGAAGCAGCAGAAAAACTACCTGCAGGGTACGCACACACACACACACACACACACACGGACGAGACCACACCCGACCCGACACCCACCCTCTCTGTCTGTGTGTGGTGTGGACGGATGGTAGAGTTGAAGAAGCGTCAGTCCGGCGGCCGCGAGATATTCGAGAGCGCATCCGAGTCGACCACTGATGACTTCGTACGCTAAACCACACACACACACACACAGTGTCCGTGCCACGCGCTCTTACGATGGCTGGCTGGCTGGATGGATTGGTGTGTGGCCACCGCAGGGTTTCAGTGAGAGTCAGGTGAACGAGCTCGAGACCATCGAAACGGACGTCAACGCACGCAACCAGGTGGGGTGGGCGGCTCGCTGGGTGGGGGCTGCACAGACAGACGATGCACAGCAAGATGAATCCGTTGCTCATCAGTCGTATGGCCTCCCTGTGTGTGCGTGTCATCATGTGTCTGTGTGTGTGTGTGTGTGTGTCAGGAGATCGCGCACATCGCGCAGTCGGTGGCTGATTTGCACAACATCTTCAAAGAACTCGCCGTCCTCGTCATCGACCAGGTGGGCTGGGCATGGATGCCATCCATCCCGTCCCATCCCCCCCCCACACACACATACAGCCACACGTGTGTCTTTGTCTGTCTGTTTGTTTGCCCTCGTCGATCGTCTGTCTGTTTCGTCTGTTTCGTCTGGTCAGGGCACGATGCTTGATCGCATTGACTACAACGTGGAGCAGGTCGAACAAAGGGAGGCACACACCGAACCCAACGTGACCACGTCCTCTGTGTGTGTGTGGGTGTGGTGTGTGCGTTTGTTTGCTGCCAACAGGTGGTGATGCAGACTGAGGAGGCCAATGTGCACATCGCCAAGGCCGAGAAGCTGCAGAAGAGCGGCCGGGCAATGAAGTGCATACTCGCCCTTGTCATCGCCATCTTCGTCATGGTAATAAACGACGACACACTCACGACTGAGGACATATTGTCCACTGTGTGTGTGTGTGTGTGCGTGCAGCTGGGTTTATTGATCTTGAAGCACACCGGCCACAGGAGGCTGCAGATGGCCGACGACTAGACAGACACACAAATGCATGGATGGGCGCGTGCGTCCGTGTAGATTGCTGCGTGAGGAAATGAGTGAATGGCCTGTTGGCATGTTAGTATGTTGATTGACTGAAAAAGCCACACGCACAAATCAGTAGTCTTTGTCTTGCATCTCAAATTTGCCGATATAGATCGACCTCACGCACACAACGCACCACACTGCATAACACAGCACAACACACAAATCCTTCCTTGTTTGCCTGCTTGCCTGGCTGCCTGGTACACTCACACAAGACTTGACGCACCCACCGGCCGGCCACACAAGAGAGGGATACAGACGTACGCTTCAGTCAGTATGTGTGTAAGTAAGGATGTGGCTCTTTATGGATACAAACAGAGCAAGGCACACACGCACACACGAGTGAGTGAATGCACTGTTTGCCTGCAGCAGGGCAGTGGAAAAAAAGACGAGGCCCAGCACCACAACACACACAACAGCACAGCACAGCACGCCTGCCTGTGCGTGCGTGTGCACGGGCCACGTTCATCAATCATGGAGAATGCGCAAGGTCATCCTTCCATCTGGACATCCCATGAATCGCGTCGCATGCTCGAAGTAAGAGTCCCGCGTAAAGCTGTGTACGGCCGGCGCACAGGCCCAGGCCGCCCAGCGAAAAAGGGGGACACACCACCACCCACCGACACAACACGCACGTACGGCGCACGAGTGAACACAGACAGCATGAGGACGACACACAGACAGACAATCAGACAGACAGAGAGACGGTGGTAGAGAGAATAGAAGAAGGTGTGATAGCTGCCTGGACGGCTGAATGGGTGGACGAATGGATGGATGGATGGCAGGGGAGAAAACACCGGATGACAGAGAGAGAGCGTGTCTGTTTGTCTGTCTGGATGGATGTGATGGGGGGTGGAGATGGGGAGGGGGTGGGGTGGGGCGGTGCCTCTCTTCATTGCACTGCACTGAATGCATTGCCTGCATGCCATGCATCGACCAGTTCAAGCCTGCCTGCCTGGGTGTCAGTCAATCTGTCCCTCCCTCCCTCCAAAAGCCATCAAAACACGACAAAACTCAATCCATCAACACACGGACAAGAGACAGCAGACAGACGGACAGACAGACGGACAGGAAAGAGTGAGAAGTACGAGAGGAGACGAGACGACACGGCACACAGCAGCCAGACCACACACAGATTGCCAACCAGCCAGCCAGCCAGCCAGGCGACTGCGCTCCCCCTGTCCTTCTTTCTTCCTTCACGGCCCCTCCTGCCCTCCCCCATCTCCTCCGCCCTCAAGAAGCGGGCCCCTGTCGACCTCTTCTGCGGCACCATCGCCATCACCATCGCCATCGACTTCTTCCCTCAGGTTATCCTCCCCACCGCTCTCCCCGCCATATTCCTGCAGCACCATCTGACCATCACCACCAACGCCGCCCACAAAGGCCGGCGCGTCGGTGCCAGTGGGGGCAGCCACCACACCGCTCGACACAGACGGCACCTCGCCGGCAGGACTCACACCTGCACTCTCCCCACCGGGCGTGGGGGCGGGGACAGCGACAGGGGCAGGGACAACCGGTGGAGAGGGAGAGAGAGACGGCGATTGCGATGGTGCGGCAGGGGGAGGGACAGGAGGGGCGGCGGCGGAGGCGGTCTGCAGGGAGTCCGACAGAGTGGACGACGACCGCGAGAAGTCAGACGACGAACGGAGATCGCCTTGCGGGACACCACCAACACCACCACCACCAGCAACACCCGTACCACCAGAAGCGGACGGCTGTGCAATGCCACCCTGCGTCGATGTGGGAGGGAGGGATCGGTGGGGCGAGAGAGTGGATGGGTGTGAAGAGGAACTGGCGCTGGCGTGTGCGCTGCGGGGTGTGGACCGCTGTGAGTGTGAGGTGGGACCAGACGAAGTGAGGAACGACCGGTGGATGCCTGTGCCGCCCTCGTCAGAACCCTCGAGGCCCTCCTCGATGAGCTGCGGCCCACCACCGACACCACTGCCACCCCCTGAGGCCGATAGAGGGCCGCTGAGGTCGATCTGTGGCAGACCCTCGTCGAAATCGGGGATGTCCACACTTGTGGATCGATCATGAGACACACAGATACACATGGATGGATGGAGGAAGGTGATGTGCAGTGTGGTGTGGTGTAGGTACCTGATGGTGGCTGGGAGGGCCTCGAGGCCAGGGATGAACTCGGCCGGTAAGTGGACGCCATGCCGCTTCATGAAACTGGTGGACCACACAGACAGACACATATGATCGATTGCTCGCTCATCTGACGCTTGCGTACGTTCTGCGCCGTTCTTCCTCCTCCTCCCTCATGCGCGTCAAGACGTCACACGCACTCATCGCCTTCACACACACACACACACACACACAGTGCCTCCATCCATCAGCTGGCGAGTCTGGTGTGTGTGCTGTGGTCAGTCAGTTAGTTACCCTAGCGACGTATTTGGCTTTGAATGTCCTCCTCCTGGCGATTTCGGTGAGGGCCGCCTGGTAGGCCGACGGCATGCGGTCGATGTGACTCAGGTGGCTGAAGTCAGCCTGACGCACAGGAAGGGATGAATGGTCAGTCATGTTGGTTGGCTGCCTTTTGCGTGTGTGTGTGTGTGTTACCTTTTGTTTGTTGAGCGTTTCTTCGAAGACCACTCCCTGACTCGACAGCTGGTGGATCCGCGACTGCAGTGCACACACATACACACACACACAGAGCCATGTGAGGCGCAGACAGGCTGGCATGCTGACGGACTGACAGACCTGCAGCGATGAGACCTCCCTGAGGTGCTCCAGGAAGGCTGCACACCGGCTAGACTGACACATGAGACGCAAGGGCACACAAACAGGCAGGCAGGCAGGCAGGCATCAGAGACGCGTGTTGGGTTAGGAAGCATGCGGGCTGGCTGCCAGTGGCTGATGGGATGGGTGTGTGTCTGTGCCCCCATCCCCCATCCTCTCACCCATCTGACGCAGCATCGGGAGTAGAGCTCCTTGACCTTCTCATGCAGATCCTGCACACGACCCAAGTACTCGTGCTGACAGACAGACAGACATGACACACACCACGCCACACACAGCCAAACCAGATCAGATCAGATCTATCCACAGTCTATCTTTCAACAAGATTCACCCACCCACACACCGACTCACGGACCTGTTGCTTCTCCTTCGCGAGCAGCTCTGCGGCGGCTTCCGGCGAGAACGAGCGGACGACGTCAGGGTGCTCTTGTGGCCTTTGTGCGTCGCCGACGCCGACCATACTGATGGTGGTGGAGGCCTCGATGGTGGGCTGCGGGGGCAGGGTCTGCAGCAGACTCTTGAAGGTCGCCTTCTGCTGACGCAGCAGCTCGTTGAGCTCATGCATGTTCTTCTCCACCGTCTCGTCCGCACTGACCACAGACAGACAGTGGAGCGAGGGAGTGTGTGTGGTGTGTGGTGGGGTGGGGATTATTGGTTGTGTGGTTGCTTGCTGACCAGAAGTCGTTCATCTTTTCGAGTTCGCCGTCTGTGTGTTGTCCCGTCTCGATGGCCACCTTCCGCAGCTGCTCGATCCGACGGCGGATGCGGTCTGACGGATTTCACACACAACACACACACACACACACGGACAGACACATACAGACATGGTTTTCTCTCTGTCCTTGGCCGGCCTGACTGACTGCGTGGCTGGCAGGTTTACCGTGGTCTGCCCCACAAGAGGCCGCGAACTGCCGGATGCGCTGCTCGGGGACCACATCCTATAGCACCACACACAACGAAGGAAGGATGTGTCCAGCCCCTCCTTCCTTCGTTGGCTGACGAAGCTGACCGCGAGTGTGTGTCTGCCCTGCAGGCGCATGGCAGGGTGTAGCTCCACCTCCCTCAGCCGCCCGATGGCGGCATCCAGCCCCTCAAGGACACTCTGGTGACGGGCGTGCACGCCCGTCGACTTCTTCGAGAACGCATCGACTGAAGCCAGGAATGTGCTGAGGAACATACATACACACAAACAAAGAGGGAGAGAGGGAGGGTGTGCTGCGGTTGTGGCTCTCTCCCTTTGTGTGACGGTTCGGTCGGTCGGTCGGCCACTGACTCACTCACTCTTTGTGGTGTAGCAGGTTGGCGATGACGGCCCTGCAAGCCCTCTTCTGGCGCCTGACCCGCTCGTGCAAGTCAGAGATCGCCATCGACAGCGAACGGGTCCCCTCGACCACCAACTGCACAAACCCATCCATAGGTACCGAGAGGTCGGTGCAGTGCAGTGCGCTGCATTGAATTGACTGACTGACACTGACCCGAGCATCGTGCATGGCGTTGTGGAAGCTCTGTAGGGCTGCACAGAAACACACACTCACAGACGAGGGTTTACGCAATGCCGGCAGCCGACTCATAGACCCTGTGTGTGTGTGTGTGTGGCTGTCTGACCAGGGTCCAACGTCTGTGCGGATGCCGACCGAAAAAGCTCCTCCTCGTCAGCTGACATCCACACACACACACACACACAAAAAGAGCAACACACTCGGTCCACTCGCGGATGGATAGATGTGTGTGTGTGCTGTGGCTGCCCCACGACTTTGCGTACCTTCTAGTTCGACGTGTGTGGAGGTGGTGAGTCTGTGAGGACGGAGGAAGGGGTCGTCGCCCGAACCCTCGCCGCTGTCTATGAGACCTGACGGGGCCGACGATGCCGATGACGACTGCGGGGCGCCTGATGACGACGCCGACACATCGGTGCCCTTCTGATCCAGCGACGAACGGCGAAACGTGAACCACCAACGATCCTGCCCATTCGTACACACACACACACACACGCATCGATATGGCCATTTCTCCCCTCTCTCTGTCTGTGCGCGTGTGCGCGTGTGTGTGTGTAGGTGTGTGTATGTGTGTCGATTACCCTGTCTGTGTCTGCGCCCCCTCCCCCTCCCCCTTCAGGCAGCAGTATGATGTCCTGTACGGGCACTCTCCACTTGTCGGCCAGTTTGGCCTTGAGTGCCTCGTTGGGTCCGCCCTTCTTGCCCACATCGATGCGCTCCAAGTGCAGCACCTCACCGTACAGCGCGTCGCACACCGTCACCGACGTCAACGCAGACACGTGCATCAATCAAACAAACAGACAGTAATCAGCCAAGCGATTCGATAATCAATCCAATCAGATCAAGCGGTGTTGCCCACGATGAGCAGACGACAGCCGTGGCGTGGTGGAGGGCACGACACTGGCCACGCCGACCTCCTCCTCCCAACAGACGTACTGGATGTGGCAGCAGGAACAGGTGGCCACTCGAGCATGGTCACCCCGAGACCCGCCGATGAATGCCGCGCGCAGACAGCCCTGCTGACCACTGACTTGCACGACAAACCGAGGCGTCCAGGGTGGGCAGCTGTCGATGTCTTGAGAGATCTGACGTCACCAGCCGACGTCCGCGGATCTGCCTCACGCTGTGTCGAGTGGAGAGAGGGCGATAGACAGAGAGGTGTAGCGTCAGCAGAAGAGGACAGCGCAGGGAACAACTTCTTTGCAAGCTCGGCAGCTAAGCTCGCAGGTGGGGAATGGGGAGGGACCCTCCTCGTCGGGTAGCCCCTATTACTGCTGAGCACCATTCTCTCTCAGGATGTGCGCAGCTGATTGAGTTGCTGGCCTTTCAGTCGCCCTTCCACTGCACTGCACCCTATTCTAAGCTCTGCCGTGATACTGATACATCCCATTTCTGATGCCGTACGACCACGTGACAGCGTGCCTGACCAACATCCTCAGGGCCGGAGCTGACCCCAACTCATTCACAGGTCAATGAATGAGCGAATCAGACAAAAACGCAGACAATCAGACAGACAGACAGACAGACAACAAGAGCCTTGATGCATCCAAGGGGAGTCATCGTGTGTGCGCGTGTGTGTTCAAGATGAGCCAAAGGGCAAGCGGCGGACCTTATTGCTCGTGGCCATGGAGGAGGCCGTCAAAATCGACACGACCGAGCGCATTGAGATACTCTTGCAGGCCAAGGCGGACCCCAACAAGCCCTCCGAGCCCCCCAACACCTACCCAGTCGAGTGGGCGGTGAGCCGCGGCCAGCTGCACCTCGCCCGTCTGCTGCTCACACACGGCGCCGACGTCAACCTGCCATTCGACAAGAACGTGACGGCGCTGCACATGGCGGTGCACGCCGACGATATGGACATGGCCACACTGCTGGTGGTGGACCATGGTGCCAACGTGAATGCGACCGACATCAAAGGCCAGACGCCCATATTCTTCGCCAAGTCGCGGGCGATGTGCGGGCTGCTGGCGGCGCACGGGGCGGACCTGCACGCCCTCAACGCCCTGGGCCAGTCGGCGCTGCACCTGGCTGTGGCGCGTGACTGCCTGCCTGTGGTTGAGTACCTGACCGACGGCAGCCGTGTGAGTGGTCTGCTTGACGCGCAGGACTTCCAGGGTCTGACGGCTTTGCACGTGGCGGCCTACTACGACAACCGTCGGTGTGTGCGGCTGCTGTTGGACATCGGTGCCGACTGGGGTCTGAGGAGCAAGAACGGCCACACGGCGCTTAGCCTGGCCGACAAGCAGAAGCACGACCAACTGGCCTTCTACCTGTACAACAGACAGACACAGCGGCTGTGGGGCGGCTGGGGGGTCCTCAGGAACCCCGTGTTTCTCGTCGGCATGGCCGTCGTGGGCACCGCTGCTGTACTCAGGTACTACGTGATATACAAGGGGAATAAGTAAATGGCTGACAGACAGACGGGGCGGTGCATTGATTTGACTGATGGTTTGGTTGGTTGATTGGCTCAGGTGGGGTGACATTCAGAGCCTGGTGGTCGACCTGTTTGAGGGCTTCCGGGCCGCACACACGCAGTGAGGCGTGCGCTGCATGGCCATCGACGGTCACATGCAGGCAGGCAGGTCCATCAAATCAACGCAGGGAGGTGCAGTAACTGCAGTGCCTGCAGAGGAGAGATGTGTGTGTGAGAGGAAGGTGTGTTGTGTGATGTCGTGCGCTGCGTGTCGTCATCTTATCTGGTTGTCTGGTCTTTGCTCCCTCCGTTTTGCTCTTCCTTGTCCGCGTGTGCAGGTAAGGTAGATAGGTTGCTCGACTGACTGACTAAGTGGGTCTCTCGCTGGTGTCCGTGACGTGCTGTGCTGTGCTTGCCTTGAGTGTCTGATGCAATTGCAGCCTTGACTGCGTTATTAGTGCTGTGCTGTGCTTGCGTGACGTGAGTCAGTGGGTGCGTCGGTGAGTGTGCGCGTGGTGTCAGTCAACTCTTGATGGATGGACACTGAATGAATGAGGGAATGAATGCCTTTCCTTGAGTGAATGTGTACGCATCCAGGCAGTGTGTAGAATGAATGGATACAGACAGACCATCAATCAATATTGCATCGATCACATATAAACTGACGGTAGGCAGGGCAGGGCACAGCCTGCCTGTCAGTCAGTCACATCGATCAGGAGGTATGTATGTATCCATGTGATATGTAAATGGGTCTGTCCATCCATCCATCCATCCACCCACCTGCACCCACCAGTCAGTCACCCATATCACCTGGCCAGGGGAGATATCAGCCATCTCAGCCTCCCCCCACCCTGCTCGCATCGTTTGTCTTACAACAGGACACCCACACCGCACCGCACCGCACCGCATCCCACAGCAGCCGGCACGGCAACCAACGTACGCACGCCCCCTCTCCCCAAAACATACACACACACCGACAGCAAAACCAGTTGGTCTGTCTTTCTTTCTCTCGGGTGTCAGTCACTGGCGCTCGCCTCGCCTGATCATGAGTGTGTCGATTATCTCAACCAGGTGGGAAAAACAACACACAGGTGTAGTCCAAACATGCAGGAACACATGGATGGATGAGTGCACGTATGCATAAATACACTGCCAGCGTGCCAGCCAGCCACCCACCCCGCCAGGCAGCCAGCCAGACCCAGCCAGCCATCAGCATGTAGGTACGTACTTACACGTCAGTCATGTAATGTAGGCAGGCAGACAGACAGGCAGGTACATACATACATCCACACACACAACAAGAGAGAGGGATGGATGGAGATGACTCACCATCGCTTGAATTGGCTGTTTGTAGATATGTATGTATGTATGTGTCTATGTGATGTGCACTGACTGACTGACTGACTAACTGACTGACTGACGTGAGTGCGTAAGTGGATGAGGAGGGAGGGAAGGAAGGAGGAAAGGACTCATGGTATGTATGGTGCGCATCGCATTGTCTATCTGATGAGTCTGTGTCTGTCTGTCTGCCACATAAATACATACATCGGGCGGGGCGGGCAACCAACCAGGTGGCTGGCAAGGTGTACTGGCACGCATACCATACGACAGGGGAAGGAAGCAAGGCGAGTGAGGAAGGAGGAAGGAGGAAAGAAATGAACATGGGACACCCACCCTGGTAAGCTGGGTTGGGTTGGATTGGGTTGGGGAGGGCGCCACGCAACGAGAGAAAAGACAAACTCAGTCAGTGGCTCGGCGGGTGTGTGTGTGGGTGTCTATACGGCGATCCACTTGACGACCTGTCCGTTCTCCCACATGCCCTCCTTGACCACGCCGTCCTGACCCTTGTGCCAGCCTACACGCACGCACGCACGGACAGTCAGGGGAGTCTATGTGGTCACGTGACTGACTGACTGACTCCCCAACTGACTCCCCACCTCACTCACTCATTCACTCACCTTTGCCCTCCTGTTTGCCGTTGACCCAGTTGCCCCGCACCTCAGACCCGTCGGGCCAAGAGAAACGACCGGCGCCGTGCTTCCTGATGGGCAGAGCGGACACGCACATGTGTGGACCGTTGCTGTATCCCGGTGGTAGTTAGTTACTTGTCGCTTTTGTATTCCCCTTCGTAGACTTTGCCGTCGGCCCAGGTGAACTTGCCCTGACCGTCCATGCGATTCCGCTTCCACTGCAGACGTAGGTGGTTGGGATACACGACGAGCAAAGGCGGGCGGCATTGTGTGTGTGTGTGTGTGTGTTGTGATGCGTGTGTGTACCTGTCCTGAGTACTCCCTGCCGTCCGGCCACTGCAGATCGATCCGCCATTTGCAGACATCCATCCATCCATCCATTTGAGACGATCTGTTGGCTTGTCTGTCTGTCTGTGTGTCTGTCTGCCTAGTGTGCGTCCTGCTTGGCTTGACTCTGTGTGTGTGAGCTTTACTTTGAATCTGCCGTGTCCGTGAAGGTTGTCTTCGTAGAAGGACCCCTCGTACGTGGCGCCCCCCTCCCACCGAAAGGTGCCCTTCCCCTGCTTCTTGCCCTCAACAAAATGACCTGGGGGCAAGCAAAGACAACGCACACACATACATACACACACGCACAGGCGCATCTCTGCCACGCTGCTGCGTGTGTGCCGACCGACCTACGTACCTTCATAGTATGATCCGTCCGGCAGTCGTTCGACGCCTGGACCGTGTTTGCGTCCGTCTCGCCACTCGCCCTTGTAGGAGGTGCCGTCCTTTTTGGTCAGGTGGCCCTGGCCCTCCGCCTTGCCCTCACGCCAGTCACCCACGTAACTCGTGCCGTCCTTCCACACCTACAGACACATAACGCATAAAACCAGGCAGGCAGGGAGGCAGGGAGGGAGATGAGCAAGGATCAGACAGAGGCCCACCCATCCCATCAATCGCTCTTTCTTTCTGTCCTTGTGTTACCTGCTCGCCCCTGCCGTGTGGCTGGTCGTTCTGGTGCAAAAGGGGTCACACAGAGCATACATACGCAGCGTGTGTGTGAATAAATGAGGTGTTGAGTGTCTCAATTGTCTGTGTGACTGTACTGTGCGCCCACCCTCATTTGTCCCGAGTAGAAGGCCCCGTTGTCGAGCTTGTGGTTCTCGACCTCGTTGTACACACCCGCCTCAGCAACCTGCACATACACACACATCGACACACACATTCACATTCCCTACGACTAGTGTCCATTTACCGACCCTACCCTTCATCTGTGTGTGTGACTGACTGACCAGGTATGAGTGGTTCGCTGACAGCCACTGGTCGCCCCTCCGGGCGTCGTGAATGTTGAAGTGCGACGAGTCGTCTGTGGCGCCGGTGCTGCTCATGTTGACGGCCCCGCCCTGCACCGACGGGCGGATGAGCTTCCGGTCCATGTCAGCCCACTCGCTGATGTCGATCTGATGCTCATTCTGACATGCCGACCACACAAACAAGATACAGACAGACATGGGCTAGGCGTGTGAAGTGAGTGGTGTTTGGGTACCTACCGTTGGCGGCAGCGGCCACACGCCTCCCCTGTGGAGGCACTGCTGAGCCGGAAAACTGCACTGCACACACTCAATCACACACACAACAGACCACACAACCACAGCAACACAACAACACAATACGCTTTCGTGCCTTCCTCCTCTGTTGCAGCTTCCAAAAATCGTCCCGTCTCAAACTCCCAGAGTGGCCTCTCTGTCTTCCTGCCTCGCTGCAGCTTTGCGAGCTGCTTTGCTCCTGTGTACCTGGTTGCCCATTGCGCTGCAGAAGGCCGCGGACACCGCCGCAGCAGGCGAAAAGACGGGATGCCAGGACGTCAAGGGCAGCACTGCCTGCCTAACCGCATTGCCATTCCAGGCTCCCACATCCTCAATAGCGCGTTTTTCTCAGGAAAGGGACGCTCGGAAAGTGCCATTAAGCTCGCACGAGGGGAAGGAGTGACGAAACAGCTGCATGGTCTGCCTGTGGCTTAGGGAGTTGGTCCGCCGTCTGTGTGTGTGAATCAGATGGCAGAGGGGCTGCATTCCATGAGTTCAGTAGCCATGGACCTGGAGCGGGAGATAGCGGCGTCCGTCCACGCCGTCGAGAGGGAGAGGGACAGGTACGCCTGGCCTGCATGCAATGCAATCCATGCAGATATTGACACACCAACCGATTGCCGCCGTCCGGCATCGCACACACCGGTGTGTGTGTGCCGTGCGTGTGTTGGTTCAGGCACCGTGTGGAGAGCGATGCGTTAAAGAGGGAGGTGGAGGCGCTGCAGCGGAGCAACCAGACACTGGAGCTGGAGCTGGCCAAGGCGCGCCACGACAACCTCATACCGAAGCCACACACAGCCCTGGCTCACCGACCAATCCCCTCGCCCCTCAATGAGCGGCCACCCGCCCTTCCACCCGCCACTGTGACAGCCATGGACACAGCCTTCCCAGGGCCCGCCCCTGCCTCTGGCTCAGACAGGGACAGGGAGAAGGTCGGGGATGTCGACAGTGAGGAGCGTGCCAAGCTCAAGGAGCGGATCAGCGAGTTGTCGAGCCGGGTTGAAGGTCTGGGTGGGGCCAAGGGCGGCGCGTCGCCCTATGACTCAGAGTTTCTTGACGGTGGGAGGGGCGGGTACTCGTCGGCGGCGCCGCATGGCCCTTCCTCTTCCTCTTCTTCTCGTCTGTATGGCGGTGTTGGGGTCGGTGCTGGTGGCGACGATGGCGGAATGGGCGCACGGTGAGTTAGCCGAACAAAGAGTCAGTGAGCGCGTCCATGTGCATGGATCCCGTTGGCTCATTCAGTGTGTCGGGCGGTTATGGGTTCCGGCTGCCGTCTGCTCGTGCCGGCGCGGCCGATGACCTCCTGCCGCCCCTCCCTGGCAGGACTGCTGCAGACGAGGGCGCACGCACAGCCACACTCGCACATACGGACCCTATCCACGACACACACCCACCTGTGAGCACGGCAGAAAGACAGACTGACAAGAGAGGGTGCCTTGTCTACCGGCATCATGTTCACTGTCTGTCTGTGGTCGTGCATTGCAATGCCATACGATTCAGGTGCCTCCGTACACGAGTGGCGCCACCCTCCGCCCCACATCAGTGCCGTCACCAACCAGCCCCCCAGGAGCTCATCCTCCTCATCCTGCTGCTGGTGCTGGTGCTGGCATGAGTGGTGTGGTTGGTGTGGGTCAGGGTGCGTTGGAGGCAGGCGGCCCGGCGCGGTCTCGCAGACTGGCAGACGAGGTCGCGGAACTCAGGTATGGTACACACGAGCGCACCCAGACATGGCTGAGTGAATGGTGGATGGTTGTGTTGTCTTGTGCGTGTGATTGTGTGTGCAGTGAGCTGCTGCACGAGTCCAAGCGGATGATCGAAGCTGAGGCCGACAGGCAACAGGTCGGAGTGAGTGCTCACATTGTGTTGGGCGTGTGAGTCGCGTCTGTCCATATGTGTGTGTGTCAGCTGTGCCGCGAGCGCATGGCGCAGGCTGAGAGGGAGGCCCTCGTGGCCGGCGAGGAGGCAAACAGAGCTAGGATCGAAAACGAAACCCTCAATGGTTAGTTAGTACACGTCCACACACACTCTGCCAGATTACTGCGGTGTGTGTGTGTGTGTGTGTTTGGTTGCCTCACTCCCTCACTCATGGGATGCAGCTGAGATAACGTTGTTACGCGAGGAGGTGGAGAGGGAGAGGACATTCAAGGAAACCAAAGAGGTCAGTCAGTCAGTCAGACAGCCACAACGATGCTCAGCAACGGCCACGGGATCCGCTCGCTACATGTGTCTGTCTGTCTGTCTGTCTGCATGGGCCCGTGGTGCGCAGGAGTTGCTGCGTGAGGCCCGCCGGCAGAGGGACCAAGTCGAGGTGGGTACCCTCCCTACGCACAACCCCATTGAATGTGTCTGTCTGTCCATCCATCCATCCATCCATCCCATGGGTCCGTCGTGCATTCCCTCCCCCTTTGTCTGTGCTGTGCTGTGCTGTGCTGTGCAGACGGACCTTCTGTGCAAGTGTGAGGCTTTGGCGGCAGAGCGGGACCAACTCAGGGTGGGTGGGTTAGGCAGCCAGTGCAGTGCAGTGCAGTGCACTTCGGAAAGGAAACCTTTCTCTGTGAAGGGGATGATTTCATTTCATTTCCTTTCCTTGATGCCTTCATGATGGATGGCATGGATGTATCAGTGTGAGTTGGAGAGCGCCCATCGTGAGCTGGAGGCGCTCAAGTCGGGCCTGCGGTACGCCGAGCAGGAGAAGACACAGCTCACCTCGCAACACGCTCTCACCAAACAACACGTAAGCATCCACCCCAAAGACGGGGCTGTTGTGCCACTCACTCACTGTCATCACGCCCAGCCCACATGTCATGTTTGCATGGATCGGATCCATCAGCTGGAGGGTCGCCTGAAGGAGGCCGAGGAGAAGAAAATTGAACTAGAGGTGGGTGAGCTCCATCCATCCGATGGATGGGTGGGTGGATGGATGCTTGCATCTTGCTGTGCCTGTCTGTCTGTCTGTCTACTGGCCATGCAGATTGAGTTGGATCGTTGTCGGCGTGCCTTGATGGACCGAGAGCAGGACAGCGACACCGCCAGGCAGAAACTCATGTACGTCACCAGGGAGAAGGAACGACTCGACACACAACTCAAAGGTAGGGAGGGAGGGAGGCAGGTAGGTAGGCAATTGATTGGTCATTGTGCGACACAACAAGCATCTCTTTCCCTCCCTCCCTCCCTCCCTCCTTTATTCACTGTCAATCAGATTTGTCGCGCGAGATAGCCCGCAATGACCCCGATGCAGCAGCGAAGGCTGCTACCGCCAAGGCACACACACACATACACACACACACAGTCAACACACCAGAAGGCAGCTGCAAGTAAGTCCTTTCCCCGTGTGTGCTCTGCTGCTCAGGCTGAGGAAACAATACGCTGCCTGCAGGACAGGTAGGGTAGATGGATGGATGGATGAAGGAGCGAGTTCTGTGAGAATGAATCTGAATGTTGGCATCCTTGGCTGGATCAATGCCTGCAGGGTGGCGTATCTGACGCACCAGCTGGAGGCGGAGCGGTCCAAGACGGCCAAGAAGGGCCTCATTGGGGGCACCAGAGCCGACACGCAGCACCACCCACATCCACATCCACCACCCGCATCAGCACCCGCACCGAATGCATCGGTAAGTCCTAACCACCAACACACACCATTGCCCGATGGATGCATCCACACACACCGCCCTGTGTTGTGTGTGGCCGGTGTTTGTTCAGTTCCCCTCTCCCCAGTCTGGCGCTCGTGTGCGGTGTCCGTCTGCGCCTCCGCGACACACAGGTGCCGCCCCACACTCACGCAGGGGCGCCACGAGAGGTGTTGGTGGCGGTGGTGGTGCGGGCCACACAGCGGTCAGGAGGACCCCACGTGCTGCGGCTGAAAGGGAGGACTGGCGCGTCAAACTGGGCAGGGCACGACCAGGTATATGAGCAATATACAAGACGGGCACTTGATTGGCTGGTTGATTGAGCGATCTGTGTGTGGGAATGGTTGTATGTTTGTATGTCTACAGGTGGCGGTGAGACGTGTGGTGTGGCTGAGAGGCTGCGGGAGCTGGAACACAAGTACCAGAGAGAGAGGGAACGAAACGCACTGGTAAACAAAGGACAAAGGAAGGGAGGGAGCGAGGGAGGGACCTGCACACACATACACACACACACACACACACACAGTTCCTGCCCATACCCGTCCTTTTTGGCTTTTGGATCGGTCAGCTGTCCAAGAAGCTGGGCGAGTCTCTAGAGCTCGTCCACGGCCGCCTGCGCGAGACCCGACAACACATACCCAAGCCACAGCCACACGGCCAACCGACTCCAACACCTCCTCCAGCCCCACCAGCCCCACCACCTGACACCGGTGATGATGAACAGACGCAGCAGCAGCAGCAGCAGCCTGCAGCAGGGCAGACGACTGGTCATTATGTGCCGGCTGTTGATGTGGGCGGCTATGTCGGCCCGGAGGTTTCAGAGTGCGGTCGTGGCGGCCGCATAGGGGAGGGGGTGCCCTATCCGCCATCCATGGAGAGCCCCTCCAGGCTCATGATGCAAGGTGGGTGGGTGGGGTGGGTGCAGACAGGGGCAGCCGCGCCACCTCTCACGGATGCAATCTCTTTATGTGTGTGTGTCGTACGTGCCTCCCAGGTGTGCCAGCATCGGGTCTGTCGTACGCCACGGCCATCCTGCCCGACGAGGAGCTCTCAGCCGCCCCCACGCCCACCCCGCCTCCGTCCAACACCGACCTCACCAAACCACCACCCACCAAACGCAAGACCACCAAGCCAGCAGCAGCAGGGGGACAATCCGGACGACAGGCGAGGGACCTGCCGCGTGCCGACCCATCCCCCGTCTGTGCGCTGCCCATGAGGCCGACTGCACACCCCCATTCCCATTCGCATCAGAGCAAAAGGGCATCTCGCGGCCGAGGCCAGTCTGAGCCCAAGAGGGCGCCGTTTGCCACGGTGATGGGTGCGCGTGTGAGGTCTTCGGGCTTCTCCAGGCCGCCGTCGCCCGTGCCGACTGGTGGGAGGGGCGGAGGGCCGCGCAAGAGGCCGTGATTCACTGACTGCGGGG